AAACCCGAAACCCTAAACCCTAGAGCGACCTGCGGCATGATCTGGGCACCACACCAAGAACTGACAAAGGCTGCTTTTCCTACTCCACTGCTCAGAAATGCCATATCCCCTAAACCTTAAGATAAGGTGCCTTAATAGTTAGACTAGGGTTTGGGGTATCTTATACTATAATTACGTATAATAAGGAACCCCCAAAACCTATTCTAAATTTTAAGGCCCCTACATTAAGGCCTTACCTCAAAGCACGGCTAGGTTCGAGCCAGTCACAGTCTTCCAGTTGGAGCAGCGCAAGCTGGTGGCAGTAGCGGAGGAGAAGCGCCATGGTGCGGCCGGCGCCTGTCGTGGCACTAAGGGGCTGAGTAACCTAGCCCAAAACAGGGTAAGGGTAACCTTTTTTTATTATAGTAGGATTGTATAAGCCCCAAAAGGTGAAAGGTTATCTATTAAAGGCAGCAAGAGGTGCACTTGGCAGAACATGTTTAGTAGGAATCTCGATCTGGGCTAAATGTGACAGCAACCCGTCGACCGGTACGAGTCGTTCTCCTCCCAAGTTCTGTGGCTTCTAGCTCTGCGAAAAGTAGTTTTCACGATTCGGGTGTTCGGAATTTGAGATTTTGCAAATCAGCTGTTTGGTTCAATGGGTAGCTCCATTCTCGCCTCAGCCAGCAACTGGTCATTACGTGCCTCATGCTCAAAAACCCTGCAAGATTCTTCAACAATGCTCTGTATGCCAAACCTCCATGTTGTACCCATCTCCTCGAACCCCTCTCATTCTACTTCCACCCTAAACCCTAAACCCTAAACCCTAAACCCTAAGTCTTCCTGCCAGGTGATTTTCCGAAAGGTCCAGAGCCAGAAGGTTCAGGGCCATCCTCTGGCTGACCAGCGATGGGGCCGGGCCTTGGGTCATCTTCCGAAGACAAACTCGACTCTGCGATGAAGCACAGCATCATTAGGGCTTCTTTTTTGGGTTTAGGGTTTAGGGTTTAGGGTTTAGGGTTTGGGGGTTTGGGGGTTCAGGNNGGGGTTTAGGGTTTAGGGATGTAGGTACCGGCGGTACTGATGAACTTGCACATATGGGACAACGTTGTTGATACAGCTAAACATTAAGATAATCAAGACGCAGACAGCCCTATATAGCGTCAACCAATCAAGGGAAGCTAGCAGCTGGAGGCACGACGTGCGAAGCATCTGCATCCCCAACATCTTCCCGCCCAAACCCTGACAACCCAACACACTGTGTAATACGAGGCCTTCACATCAAAGTAGGCTTTCGGGCGGAGGGGGGGGGGGGGGGGGGAGGGGGATACATGTCATGGTGTAAAAGTAAAACAAGGACACCTTCCGGAATAATAAAGGTAAGGCAGTGATTCAGGCTTCTAGACTCACCCTCATCGTATCCCGAACGCCTTATGGTATCCTTGTGGCCCTTATCGTGTCCCCTTACAATAACCCTAAACCCTAAACCCCAAACCCTTATGGTATTTCTTATCGTGTCCTCTACATTACCAAGTGGCCCTCTCCTTCCGTGCCGGCGCCGGGCAATGCCGCCAGAAGCTCTACTGCCCCAAGCTCCGGGCGGGCCCTGTCCAACAACATATTGTTCATATTGTGTTCATAGTATATATAAATATAAACGCAGGCCCCCACAGCCTCCTCTTCTATATATATATATATATATATATACGTTGACAAGATTATAATCACATTTTTATGACTAGTATACACTGTATTCAGTTTATACATGTCATTATAGTAGTATGGATTTTCTGTGCAGGGCTTCGGTTTTGAGATCTTTCGAAAGGGCTTGTAAGGTTTTCGGAGACTTTCCAAGGGGCTCTGGTCTTCTGTGAAGTCTTTGACGGTTTAGCGTGAAGGGTTAAGGGCTTAAGGGTTTAGGGTGTGAGGTCTATGCTGGCATAATAAACAGGTTGTATTCTTTTTATGGTTACTACATGCTACTACTATAGTTCTTAACTCGTATACTGCGCGGAATGAACAAAGTTGTAAAGGTGCCAGACTTTGGTACCAGCGGACCTTGAACCCTCAGCTTGCGCAATCGGTACGCTTTCTCTGAATGGTCTTGAGCCTAAAGTCTCACTCCACATCCTACAACCTGAATCACCTAACTCTAAAAACCTGAATGTGCTTGCTTTGATGACATCGGTCCCTCCTGACCGCTGTGCTCATCTCGGCCAAGGCGTCTGCATCTAGTTTGCAGTTCCGGAACCTTCAGCGGGAATGAAGTAGAGTTCAAGGATCGGCATGTGGGGCTTGCGAGCTTGAGCTTGAAGCTTCGGGTCATGCCTTCATCCGTTCAGGGGTTCTCCCAACTAAGTCAAGATAGTGCAACTGCTGGCGAGCATCTGAGCGCGACTTCCCAACCCCGCATGCATGACAGCCCAAACGCTCGAAACATATCGCAAGCTGAATCAATAAACTTTTCACCTCCTTGCGTAGACCCTGATGATGTCTCAGGTCGCAACCTGTACCTCTACCCTGTCCTGATGTAGAAGCCATTTCTGCTAGTCTGTGTTGGGCAACTCTTTTCGATATTGACATGCAGCACCGACAACCCGAAAATCTCTCTCTGATCCAGCCTGTTTTAGACTAGTTCCAGGTTCCAAGAATAAGGAACCCTAAACCCTAAACCCTAAACCCTAAAGAGTAGTATTGGCAGTTATTTGGGCTCAGTGGTCCAGATTTGGCTTTGCGCTCTCCATAAGCTTCAGAATCCGACGACCAAACACCTCACCCCCAAATGTCAAAACCCACAAGGCGATGCACAGCCAAACTTCAAGGCACGCCAGAATCCTCCTAAACCCATGAAACAAAGCCCATAGAGACCCCAATTATGGGCTCTCTATGGACTTTGTTTCATGGGTTTCGGATTTAAAGACCATACCACAGGCCCTGCAAGCAACCCAGCACCTCAGGATCTGAAGCTCTGAACCCTAAATGGCCCAAAGCCGCGCGGCCGCAATGCGCGGGGAGCCAGCTCGGTGAGTCGGGGTGGCAAGGCACCCAGGGGGCAGCGGATAAACGACCTGTGGGTGTCAAAGGGTCCAGGGATAGTAGGATTCTGCAGTGCCTGGTCTTGGGATCTTGCTCTATGGTAGGGGTGGATGATCGACATGTTGTTGCATTGACTTGGTTGTTGCCCCCCTTCCGCCTCTCTATTTTTCCTGGTGGACTAATCCTTTCTTACTTCCGTCTTGCGGAGTACTTCGAACAACACATACCAGTAACCTATACTAAAGTGACACACCCTCGAACGCAGCCACCCCCGCGGGGTTTATGGGTTCTAGAAAGGTTTATCGGGTCAGCTTTTTATGGCTTAGCTAGAAGGCGTGTAGATTTCAGACCTTCAGGGGAAGTTCTTCCGGTGTTCGCGGCCTGAGGGTGATAGCCTTGTTTTAGGACTCCTGCTTCTAGATGTTTCAGAATTCATGCTTTGGAGCTGGAGAACTGAAAGATGACTCATATGAGGGCTCATTGCACACGCGGTTGCCTCCATGATATTGGTGAACTGCATGTGTATACTCGGAAATGACTGGCTTATCAGTTGGCAACTTTCCGGCAACAAAACTCGCAACCAACATCTCCAAACGAAGACAAGGCGCAGCTCAAAACAGCTCCGAAGGACCTGAGGGCACCACAGCGCAATCAAGATCGGCCGAAACGTCGTGTCGAGAGTTTGAGACTTGGTGGTGTAATGCATCAGTGACTGATACCCATGGCTCCCTTGCTTAGCCCTTCCAGTCTAGGTTTACAGCAACCCTTTTTCGGTTGAAGAAATGAAGCTCAGTACAGGGTCCCAGGCAAAGCTGTCTGCATCTACAGCCCCAAAATTTCGGAAATACCTGATGTAGGGGCCTCAATAACAAGAATGGGGTTTGGGGTTCGTATACTAAGACGATAACGAGCCCGATGGAATAATGCCAGGTAATTCTTCAGGCGTCTATTGCGTACAAATCAGGCGTAAACGAGGTCTTCAAACCTGCCGAACGAAAAAAGCCATCAAGATGCAAGTCGTCGCTCAAGGTAGCCACTCACCTGAAGCCTGTTCGTCGCACTAGTAGGCCTCTAGCTTTACAGAACACCGATAACACAGCTATAAAACAAACGTAATAATACTCACAATCTCATATCTGAATGCTATGTAGCAACGATATTAAGGATAGTAATTTAAACACAGTAAGTAATGACTAATGATAGAACAGCGCATGGTAGGCTCGTGCCTCTTCCAGCTGCTTGAAGCCCTCTGCCCCCAAAGTGCAGTCCTCCATGAGGCGGAACATGTATGGAGGCCCACAGAGTAAAGGGTTATTAGTGTGGGCTTAGGGGTCAGGGTTTAGGGGGTAGTAAAGATTCATATTCAGGTTCTGGTATTTCTTAACCTGTATGAAACAGGAGTTGTAGTTGAGCAGTGGCAGCAAAATGCTCAACCCTGCCCCGAACTACACACACACACACACTCTCTCTCTCTCTCTCCATACATATATATATATATATGCATATATATATATATAGAGATAGATACATATATATATATATATACACGTACACATGCATACATATAAGTATACACAAAAACTAAAAAGTACACATGTATGTATATATACATATGTATGCACCTCTGTGTATGTAAACATATATCCTAACAGATTCTATACACGGATACCATAGGCTACACGTCGTAAACAAACCACCAATGTCAATGACAGTGTCGACATATGCCTCCAACCGGAAGCTGATGGCAGCACTAGCACCAAAGGGGGACTTATCGAATGAGGGTCAGGCAAAGGCAAAACCAACATATACTCCCTCAGCCCTAAACCCTAAACCCTAAACCCTAACCCTAAACCCTAAACCCTAAACCCTAACCCCTGAACCCTAAACCCTAAACCCTAAACCCAAGGAGGCCGCAGGATAGCAGCTGACTTCTTGTCAATGCCTGCGTTCCTTGGCACCCTGGATCCTGCAAGCTCCCGAAGCCTTCTCACTCCTTGAAGCCCAGTACCCTGGCCCTAAACCCTTAACCCTTAACCCTTAACCCTAAACCCTAAACCCTAAACCCTAAACCCAAAAAAGCTTAAACTTTTCTTTAAGTAGGGGGGTTTAATATACCAAAAAGTTTAAAGTCTACCTACTGGGCTCCTAAGCACTCCTACACGTTAACCGCAGTTCTCACACAACTCCTGAGCATGGGCAAAGAGAGCTAGATTTATCAGAACCAGGAACATGACAGGATCTTGGGTAGACGACGCTTGGTAAGGACAGTAGTTCAGCTGCAGGGGAGTGGTGGAAGGTTTTTGCAGTTCGACACACTTCAATCCAGGTCGCTCCTCGACGAGAAAGGCATCTAGTTTGCCAAGCTGGCGCAGCGCAGTTTGCACCTTGGGATAAGAAGCCTGCTCTGGCATACGTCATATAGCATGGGAGCGGGCCGGGGCACAAACCAGGTGAGGTCCAGCTAGGGAAGAAAAATGCGGGCCTTTTTTGATGAACATGTAGACGGCAACCGGTTCATATCTGGTTCAAACGCGTCGCGGACAGGATTCCTTGAAGCCCAAAAAAGTGTAGTAGGGGGTGTAACATACCAAAAAGTTTAAAGTTTACCTACTGGGCTCCTAAGGATTGGGATCCTCTTGGCGCTCTTTACAATGCCTAGGTGAGGCCTGCATGCAGCAGAGCATCATCCGCACTACAAATCCTGAATTCGACGTGTACCCTTTTGATCGTAGCGAGGCACAAACAAATCTTGTGCGTACTTAAGCTATGTTACATGAGATCGCTGCTCCAACCCCAAAACAGCTAGAAGACACGTCTGCCAGAAACACAACATACTTATTTCAGCCGTCATCAGCATCGTCCAAAATGTCCCAGAAACAGTACAGATGCAACACTACCTCGTGGGACCCTCCTGCCGCAACCACTCTGCAAGCAACCTCTGCCGATGTCAGATTCATCTTGCGCAGATGGAAACGCCTCGGTAATTCAGTATAGGATCTACAAGAGTTACAGAAGCACTATGCAGATGAGAAGGACAACGATAGCTCATCTGGGAGTGGGGGAGGCGGTGGAGGATTCCGTGTCCCATTGTCACACCGCCGATAGTCGAATGCGGTTCGTGCTGCCCTGATATCACATGATGCAAATACCGCAGCGACTCCACTCTCTCCCCCCGATTTCAAGAGCAGCTGCATGCATGCTCTAAGGCCTTAATAGTTAGAATAGTATGCTGATACAGTATGCTATACTCTAGTTATAATAAGGACTCCCCCCCCAAAAAAAAAAAAAACGTACAGGTAATTATTTAGACCCCTATATTACAGAGTTTTGCTCTTGGTGCAAGCACAGGGTCCCCAACAGCAATCCAAAGTAAAAACAATGACATCACTGGCCATTTAGGGCTTAGGGTTTAGGGTGAACAAGGTCACACCAATAACAAGGCACTAGCAGCAACCAGGGTGACTACTGTGCTCAAAATGAATGAAAAGAGTCTCAAGGTTGCAGGGTTTAGGGTTTAGGGTTGAGGGGTTGCTACGCTGGCAGGAACAACCACGGCTGCATGGATCACAGTGTAGGACTTGCGAAGCTAATGCTGACGGCGTAAGACGAATGGTCGTGGACACCACGGCCCCGAGTATGACCAGGCATCAATCTGTCGCTGGTGCAGTCATCCAAAGGATGGTCATAAGGACATGCTGATCGTGCAAGTCACGGTGATAATGACGCTACACTACACAACCCTCGTTCATAAATATAGGAAGCTGATTAGAAAGGGGAAGTACGCTGTGCAAAAGGTCGAAAGCATCGTTCAAGCTCAGGGCCACTTCAGTAAGTTCTGCACTTCAGGTCAAACGTGAAAATTTCAACGTGGTTATCATTGACTGCATGGCCGTCGTCCACCATCTTCACAAGCACCGCCGTCATCGCCATAATCCTTGCTAGCATGGGCAGCCGCCGATCAGTCTATTGCAAACCATCATCAGCACAGTAACTTACCTAGTTCCGATGTTTTCGTATTTCGATAGGGTCGATTTCTGAGCCTTGCATGGGCTATCATTGCTATGTTCTGTGCCTGGCAGATAGTGCTACAGATTTCTCCGGGGCCTCGTCTGCCGCGCCAGGGCAGCTGCAAATCGCAAGGATGACGAGCACAGAGTTTCGGGAAACAAGCCTTGAGCATTGTAGTTCGTTTTTGGTCCTTTTGGAGGTTAGCTTATAATTATACGATCCCAAGATGTACAACGGGTTAAACCGAAGAAACGGAAATACAATAGAGACTATAGGGCTAGTTCTCTAAATTAGGATCCCTTTGGGGGTCCTTTTTTATAAGGGTGCCGTTGTAGATTGGGGACCTACAGAGGGACCCTAACTTTGAGAACTATCCATAGGCAGGGCTTAGGGCGCAGGGTCGGAACTTCACGAGGCTCCCCCGAAAGGGCCGTCGAAGATATTCGCGGCCTTTGGCCAATGTACTTAGCAGCTGTCATATACTAGGCAGTAAGAGGACACTTATATGCATGTAATCAATAAACAAATATATATATATATATATATATATGTGTGTGTATCAATAAACAAATAAATAAATAAACAAATAAATACATACATAAATAAATAAAAATATATATATATATATATATGTATGTAGTAGGCAGTGAGGGGCAGCGAGAGGCCAATTCTGAAGAGAAAGCTCCAGGCAACAAGACTGCTGCGGGCACACAACACCTGTATGCATCTGAGGGTTTGGGGTTAGGGTTCCTGTATGCGACCAAAATTAACACAAAACAAGAAAATCTTTCGAGTGAGCCCCAGACCCAGCTGAACGAGCTCGCTGATGAGGAGAACCACTACATCGGGCTCGAGCCTAAGTGGAGAAGGAGCTCTTGCGCTCGAGTGCATGCGGAAACCGCTGAACTGCACAAAGGAACGTCGGCCACCATATTATGTATATCTGTATATATATATACACATAGATGTATGTATGTATGTATGTATGTATGTATGTATGTATGTATGTATGTGTGTATGTATGAATATGCATACTTATGTTACATTACATTTTTGTATGTTTATACATTATACGTGAGTAGGTGGTCTTATGTTTGCCGTGGCACCATGCCAATGCGACTGCTGCAAGCGCCGTTGCGGCAAAGGCGAGCAGCAACATTGGCTCTCGGCTTATCTGGGTAGGAGTTCCACCCCTAAACCCTAAACACTCGGGTACGGCTACGTGAACTCAGGGGATCGCAGAATGTCCCAAGTTAACAGCGGAATTCGGGTGTTCATCAGCCCAGGGTTGGGATTCTTGCTCAACTCTACCTTGAGACATTGGCCTATTTCATCGAAACTGCGGCTGAATTCGGACATGCAGATTCCTAGCCTCAACGTTGACTACACTGCAGAATTGACCGACAGGCTGAGGAGGAAAAGACGTGCACACAGCCCTGACGCCTGAGCTGAGCGATCCAGCAACACACGAGCCACAAGAGTTCAACGTCGCATGCTGATATCAACTGCAGCAGTGCGTGCCTAGCAAAGAAACGTACTGGCGAACTGAGTTTCTCGTCCTGCATGTCCCTCGCCCACATAAACTTGTATGCTCACACCTACAAATAAAAGAGAGAGTCTATGTTCACCACGGTCACTGCAACATTCGCAAGAAGGGGCATAAGTATAGTTGGACTGCACGCTAGCTCAATGTAGCTCATATTTACTTATATATATATATATATGTATGTATGTATGTATGTATGTATGTATGTATGTAAACGGAACTATACGGACTTTAGGGCGCCTTTTTGTCTCACGAAATGTAGCTGGCTGCATCAATGGGTCCTTATCGACCACAGAGGACACCAGTCCAGAGTAGCCCCCACATCAAGTGGAAAGCAGGTTTCTGGAGCGCAGTGGTGGCACAAAATTAAAAAATGCCTTGCTATGCCTTGCTGTAGCGCAGGAGGCGCAGCAAGAACAAGATCACGCCTCAGATGTGACGGTTTAGAGAAGTTCTTCATTCCTCGACATT